AAAAAGAAAAAAAAACCTATTTAAAAAATATATATATTTTTTCTGCTTTTATTAAAAGCAAATTTATTTAAAATAAAATATAAAGAGACTGTAAGTTTTAAGAGATGACGCTTTTATTTCCCTGTCCCTGAGCGCAGCGGCGTGGTGGCCAGGCGAGCTCCCCAGCCCATGTAACCGGGGCAGACCCCGCTTACACCAGCTGCGGGGACGTGCTGGGGACCACGGTGCACGGCTGTGGCCCACGCAGAGGGAGCCGAGGGGACGTGCAGACCCCAGGCAGCAATTCCTCCCATCTCTGGGGACCGGAGGGGACACGGAGCATCCCGGTGCCCCTGCCCCAGTGTGCCCGGAGCCACGGCGAGCTCCTTCCCCGAGCTGTGAGCGCAGCCCGGTGCACCGGGACCCGAAGGCTGCCCTTTGTGGAACCCCGTGGTCATTATTCTGGTAGTTTTTTTTTTAAAAGAAAACAAAACTTAATTCTTAATTTTATTTTGGTTATTTTTCATAACACTTCATATACCAGTGACTTGTAACTGAGAAAGGATTTGCATCGGGAGGAAATCTATTTATGCACTGGGGAGGGTGGGAAGGGAGGCATTTGTTTTCTGGGTTTTTTTGCTAGTGTTAGAGAAATAAAAGTATCTAAGAAACAGCGACGTGTCGGTGTCTTTTGTCTAGAGGTGACCTCAGAAAACGATTTTAATATTCGACCAAGGAGGCAGAGGACGAATGGCTACAGCATCTCAACGCCTCAGGAAGGGTCTCGCCTTGCCCGTAGCTCGTTCCAGGGCTGGTGGCACCTTCTCCTCCCTCTCCCTGTTTTGGGGGGGTTTTTTCCCCCATGGAGTTTATTTGAGGTGTGGCTGCTCGATAGCCAGCCCTCATGGAGGAATAAAAAAACCACATTTGTACCTGTCAAGTTTGTATAAAGTCGAGGAATATAAGTGGTTTGTGAATGTGTGGAGCTGGTCCCTGCGGGCTTTCCTGAGGGACATGGGTGTCAAGGTCCCTGTGGGGTGGCTCGGGGGTGACACAAGCCCTGCAGGGACCCTGTGCTGGCCACAGGTAGCGGGTCTG